GTTTATTTCAGTCAGAACTAGAAGGAAAACCTACTCCATCGCAAGAACATCCTTCTAGCATTCCTTTATATGGCAATACCTGTTAATTTGGGCATGGTTTAATGGTCTAAAGCCCGTTCCAAAGGAACGGCCCATTGTGACGTAATTCCCATTATGTGCGTTGAATGGAACACACCCGTGGAAGCGCAAAATGAGCCTTCCGACAGGGTAACTTTCAACCACCTGTTACTCGAGAAGGAAAAGTCGCAGACAACTCAAACTTGGCACGATTATAGACTATGACATAGTTAATTAAACAACGACGTTAAATAAAATTTGGCTTAATTAGCGGTGCACACACCAGTTCTTCCGCGACAGGGGTCCGTGATAGTCCGTTGAAAAAAAGTGACGAAAAGGTTTTGAGGGTCCAAGTTTGAGGTGACATTTCTCATTAACTGCCACGAAGTGTCATTAAACATTAACATGGCTGAAGAGTGTAAGAAATGGTGATTTTGGGGTGAAAATTTCTTTTGGCTCCGAACCTTACTTCCGGGTATCCTTGCGCGCCAAGTGTAATCCGCCCGTTTGACCTAGATTTCGCTCTGCGGCTTCGTAGGGGTGGATTTGCAACCCCTCGCGCCGTGGACTGTTTAGAAAATTACAGTACTAGAATTTTCTTTATAATTTACTCGGGTATAGTCAAGGCTTGGGTCTTTCTGCCAGCATCAGTCATTTCTGCCGGAAAATTTTTTTTGGGGGGGATTATCCTACGCGAAAATTCGCAATTTTGGGCATTCAATTTGAAGTGAAAATAATGTTTTCTTCCGTTGATTTTACCAAACTTAAAAAGGTTGAAGAAACCAAACTCAGCTTGTATTGTAGCTAAAGAGATATCCTTTCGTCTCATATACAGTTATTCTCCTTCCGAATTATTCCACGCCAGAGACGGTCGCTAGATTTGAGGGTGTGCAGCTTCGAATAGAGGCCCCAAATAAATTGGGGTGTGCCCCCTAAAACGCTGTTTTCCACGATTGCATAGCCACATTTAGTAAAAATATGATTGCCACAATTCAAAGAACCTTTGGGGAAAAGATATATCTATTTGCGGATTTATGGCATTTTTCCACATAATTTTACGTTCGTTCAAGGACCTGTATAATGTCCTTGTTCGATAACCCGGAAGTGTAAGCCACGTAACCTTCGGCGTGACGGCCCGGTGCTCTCTATACATGTTTCCGAGCAGATCAAGGTCTGTCCCGGCAAGAAGCTTTCATCACACGGTGATAGAATGTCCTTGGTCCTGGTGATGTCCCGTACTTTAGCATACACCACTTTACTACTCGCAAAACTTGCGTTCGATTGTATCTAATTTAAAACGTCAGGAACAACTAATATCTCACCACGTCCACCCGCCAATGATACCAGTGCCTTGTTGAAAACAAATCTTTGATCGACACCGAACACCCCCTCTGTGGAACACCCCTCTGTGACAAGAAAGTGGACCAATCTCATAATACCACAAACAAACCAAAGGTCAACCCGGGCGACCATTTTCAGACTCAAACTGAGTCAAAGGGGTGTCCGGGGGCCGCCAATAAAATTCATTTTCACGCCCGAAAACACATATACAATAAGAACAAAAAACGTGAACCATCTACAGCCCAATAGCAGAACGTATACCGAGTCCCAATTACATCCGTCCACCCCAACGCGAGATACAACTGCGATCATTTTTCTTTGGTCCTGACGGAAACTACGATAATCATCTTCAAAAAGCCTACACTATGCATACACACAACACCCACGAAAGCAATATCACACTGTCGAAGGCATGAGCCCTCCGAACTCTAGTTAATATATTCGAATCCAAGATCGCTATATTTTCAACTTGTACGATAGTGTAAAAAAGCAAAGGTAGTACACCCCCGGGTTCGAATGGTATGATCCGCAGCTTATATATACATAATTTATTCAACCGTAAGAAAATTATATTTTCTTTAGTTTTAAGAGCAGAAACGAAATTTTCATGTGATGGCAGTGACTTGATGCACTGCGCTACTTGTATGTATATGACAATATGAATGTGAATTTATTGTGAAGTCATCTTATTTAAGTGCTGTATTTATCGAAAACCACATGGCATGGCATAGAACAGTCAGTATAAATGGCTTCTGCATTGCTTTCACCATTGAACCAACCAAACACTGACTGAACATTGACCGTAGCATTAAACCGGGCACTAAGCCGGGGCACGCCCCGGCAAAAAACAGTCAGAGGTATTGGACTACATGCAAATGTAGGCAAAACAGAATACATGTCCTTCAACCAGCAAGTAGGCGTTATATCCACTTTGGATGGGAAGCCTATAAAGCAGGTCAAAGATTTTACATACCTTGGCAGCAATATATCTTCAAGTGTAAACGACGTAAAACACGCATCGGAAAAGCCTGGGCTGCAAGTGATAAACTCTCAATGATCTGGAAATATTAATCATCTCTTCCAAACCAGATGAAACGGGATTACTTTTAAGCAACTGTAGTTTCTGTATTGTTCTATGGAAGCAATACTTGGACACCTTTGAAACGACTTGAGAGAAACTTGGACGGACAATCCAAAAAGTTTCTGCGTGCCGCCCTCAACATCTCCTGGAAAGAGCATCCCACAAAGGAAATGCTCTTTGGAGACCCCCCCCCCCATATTTCAAGTCATCCGTGAGAGGAGGCTCCGTTTTGCTGGACGTTCCTGGAGGAGTAAGGAAGAGAGTGTTAGTGACGTCCTTCTCTTGTTGACGTCCTTCTCTGGGCACCCAAACACGGGTATGCTAGTGTAGGCAGACCCTGAACAACCTACATACACCAACTGTGTGAGGATGCGGGCTGCAGACCGGAAGACCTGCCCAGGGCCATGGAGGATAGGGAGGGTCACAAGCATCCATGAAACTTCCAAGATCAGATGATGATGATAAAAAAACATAACATAAAAATTTTCAGTCCGTAACAAGTACTCTACATAATGGTTCAACAAGAGAAATGGGTACAAAGGAATTTACCAAAAGGTGCATGTAAACGTAGATGACGTAATTTGGCAAGCAAAAAAACTGCCTGGAACCGTAACTTACTATAAGTTACAACATGTTACAAACACCAAAGAGACAAACGATAGGGTTCATTAATTATTATTTTTTAGTTGGTGATGGCTACCATGGTGCTCTGGTTCATAAAATTCTACCTTTAAACCTATATTTTAAATTGCTCGTAGCTTAAGACATTTTTGAAGCGGCCTGTCCTACGCGTAGTAAAGAAAAAGAGAAAGATACAGTTACAGACTATTTTAAGACAAAGCTCACCCATACACAGAATGATATTTTCAAAGGCTGTTGTGTCCAACTCCCATATCTGCCTACATAGGTCAATTTTATTCACTCTTACTCTGGTTTAGTGTGATCATATGACCAATAAACAAATCAGAATGACTAGTCCTAATTAAGAATCACGAAAGCAAAATGTTTCTGGTTGGGGACCCGGTTTTTATGCTGGTTAGAATAATATACGACTGAGTTAAAACCCAATAAAGCTACATAGTATTTATATATGGTAAAATACCTCGACTTACCAGGCTTTCAGTTCAAACATTGTGAAAACATTGTCATGGTTCTCCCGTCGACACAACGCATGAGCGCCTAACTCGACTTATGAATATGAGTCCTCATGTACGAATAAAGTCCTATTCTGGAGGAACGGTTTTTGTGACATATGTTACATTAAAGGACCCATGTGTGACTCCTGATGTGGTGGCAGGTTGTATAATTGCTATAATATACCATTGTCGCCACCTAGCTTGTAAAGGTTTTTTTTCTTAACAGTACTAGTCTGCATTCTAAGCTTCCTGCCCCGCCAGCCCCCACTCACCATTTTCACCACACAGACATACAGTACAAACACATACACACACATATATACTGGGTAAAGACAGTGGTTGTTTAGATAATGTTCAACATAGTTCTTGAGTGCTAATAGCATGAAAATAGCTGCTAGTACATAACTAGATCAACATTTCAGACAAAATAGACTTATGATAGCATGAATATGCTGCATAACTAAATCACCAGTTTAAAATAAACATAGAAATCTAGTATAGATCTTCTCTAATCTGCTTCGTCTGCAAATTGAGGATTTTTTTTCACTTTCCAAATTGCTGGGGTTGTGGACGGGGGTACCATTCTGTTTATTCATCCCTGATTTTGACAGTACTGCTATGTTTATTGGTTTCTTTGTGTTGACAACAGCATGACTGGCAGTCGCAATGTACCAGGCTGAAATTCGATGCTTGTTTTTAATAACATAAATCCTTAATCCTAGGGTCATTAATACAGGTTGCAATCACGTCTGAAACGACAGATTAAGCACTTTGAGTTCAAATTCAAGTTCAATTGTAATACATTCTATAATTCATTTTATTAACAATAAAGTACAGTCCTCATAAATCCGTTTCTGGATTACAAGGAAGTAATGGTCCATCAAACTCGCGGTACAGTAGTGCACAGTGAACCCGTAACACAGTGAACCCGTAGCACAAACAGTTACACCTAGCTTCAGTACACAGTTGACAAGTAACACATAGTGTGTGCACAGTAAACCTGTAACACATAACTTCTGTACACAGTGAACTAGTAACACATAGCCTGTGCTCAGTAACATTTAGCTTGGTGTCAGTAAAATCCAATTTTTGATCTTGGGGGCCACTACTGGCACTAAGTACAGATTTTCCAATGCAAAACGTATACTAGAATACAGTATTTCAGTGACCAGGATTATATTGTATAGAATAAAATTTTCCATGAAACTAGGTTAGTGAGTATGGTTGACTTCTTAATTGCAAAGTTAAAATCATTTTTAATCACCCCCAAGCAAGAAGTGGACTTTTCCAGGACAATGCTTCCCCCATCCCTACTAGTAATATATAAATGCAATTTTTTTGGACACACAGGACCCCCCCCCCCATCTGGAAGTGGACTTCCCTGCAATCACCTGCACCTAAACCGCAGAAATCTTACACATTACCAAGTCATTTGGGTTTTCATAGCATTACTGTCAGCATCATTTTTGGCAAAATTACGCCCAAAATGATTGTGACCGATATTAATATGAAAGTTATTCATGTACTGGGGGCTTAAAGTACAACCTGCAGGTAAAATACTAGTATGCAGATATTTCTCATGTCTACCTGCACCTTGAGTACAATGTATAGAAAATTGTTATGTGGTAACAGAACATAACTTTTCATTGAGTTTTTTCCTCTATTTATTTCACATACAGGTGTCAAGAATCAACATGTGACTGGATAGACATGCAATTCTATTCAGCCATTTCGCTAGATCAAGTATGTCACAATCGCAGATAAGATCGTTCCCCAAAAGTACCGTCTGGAGGCAGGGTAGATGGCGAAACACACCTGTAGGGAACACACAAAAAAGCGATTATGCAAGAACAGGCATTGCCAAGAGTAAAGCATTAGAGAATGGTAAGACGTATAATAATAATAATTGCAGCCATTGCTGAAATACATGGACTGTTTACAATATTTCTAACTACGACATCATATTAGCATAAGTAAGTAAAATATTAAGATTAAAATGGTGGGTTGGTGTCGAAATAGGTTTAAAACATTGCATAAATCTACATTCGTTGATAAAGTTTGCGTAGGTACTAGAGTAGATTAAAAGCGTTACATAGATCTATATAAGTATAAAGCATTAGGCGTTGAATAGTGGATGTATTATTAGATAAAAGCACGTAGATAAAAGTATTTACACAATTTTAGCAGTTTGGCAAGCAATTTGCCAAAGTACAACGTTACTTCTGTGTCGTTCTCTCTCTCACTATATATAGTGAGAGAGAGAGAGAGAAAGAAAATAT